TTCATTTATCCTTTCATGAATATCTCAAATCCTCTTGTTACAACTCACGAGTTATTATTGTATTCAAAATACATATTGTAAATATGGTAGAGATAAAGATGGCTTGGCCCATTCACATTGGGCTACACTTATACAGTGACACCTCTTTTTATTTGTTAAAGAGAAATCCTCCTAAAATGTAACACATTGCTTTCTTCTATGAGTTCTGTTCTGGCTTTCTTTATCTTTTATTTTTGCATATTATTCTTATTTGTGTGACATTACTTCCTTCTATGAGTTATTTTTCTGCTATGTTACCGTTATTGAGAACTTTTTGAGTAGATGCGAACTACAATGCTTTGAACTTCAATTACGCATTCTGTTCTTATGAAGGAAGCTCATCTTATGCCAGGAAAATCTGACAAAAGACGATGCCAGGCAACAATTTTTGCGGATCTTGAGGACTCTTCCTTATGGAAATTCAGTTTTCTTTGCTGTTCGTAAGATTGATGATCCAATTGGACTCTTGCCAGGAAAAATTATATTGGGCATAAACAAGCGAGGGGTAGTGTTTCTTTTCAAGTTGAGATTGTGTATCACATGAATGTATTTATTTTTATGTAATCTTTTCAGCCTCCAATTTTTCGTTGATAAATTTCCTTGTTCATTGCAGGTTCATTTTTTCCGTCCAGTTCCAAAGGAATATTTGCATTCAGCTGAGCTAAGGGACATAATGCAATTTGGTAGCAGTAATGCCGCTGTATTCTTTAAGATGAGAGTTGCTGGTGTCTTGCATATATTTCAGTTTGAAACTAAACAGGTTTGAGAGTATAATATTGAATTAAGTGTTATAAGATGCATGCATAAATGATATTTTCTTCTGCCTCACTAATAAATGTGGCTTCACTCTTTTCCAATAATTCAGGGAGAGGAGATATGTGTTGCCCTTCAGACACATATCAATGACGTGATGTTACGCCGCTATTCTAAAACTCGCTCTGCTTCAAATGGTTCGGTTAATGGAGATCTTTCAAATAATTCCAAGACTCCAAACATGGATGTTTATGAAAAACGTATTCAGGACTTAACCCGAGCCCTTGAAGAATCCAAAAAGAAAGTCAATGAAGTGAGTAATTTTGAGTGGTGAACAGTCTTCAAGCACTTTATGGGAGTTCTTTTTCCTAACTTAACCAGTATATGGTTAACTAGGATGTCTTGTCTTTATCCATGGCTTATTTTTAATGAATTGTCTGGTTTGTAGTGGTGGGGAATGTGTGGTCTTTAACTTGAATTTGTTTGGACGTAAAATTGATTGGTTTTGGCAATTTATTTCTCTTCTTTCTTTCCACTATCTAGTAACTGAGTTTTTGGCCTGTGATTTGGTGTGTGGATTGTGTGCTCATCTGCAATTTCCTTGTATCTGCGAATGTTTGATTATACTTTTTTCTGCTCATTTTACCCGCAACACTCATGGTCTGTGAGTTCTTTTGCAGTTGCTGGAAGATTCAAATGAAAGAGAAAATCAAGAATTGAAAATACAAGAAGAGCTGGAAAGCTTGAAAGATTGCTTGAGATCAGAGAAGCAGAATTTAGCTGCGGTGGCTAGTGATTGTGATAAATTCAAATCATTATTTGAAGAAAAAGATTCGGAACTTCAGGTAGGTTATGGTTGAGAACAGTAAATTTTGATGCCATGCAAATGTATCAACTTTTGATCTCGAAAATCTTTTGGTAGGCTACCTTAGCAGAGAAGCAGAGCATGGAAATGAGGCTTGCAAAATTGAGTCCTCTAGGGTTGGAGAACAATATCAGAAAGGAATTGGTAGAAGCAAATAATCAGGTATAGGGTTGATATCTATTTTGAAGAACTTTTTTTTTTTTTTTTTTTTTTTTAATCCTAAATATATTTTGTCAACTTATGAAGTGGAACATTTTATATATCAGTAAATAAGCTACAAGTTGTATTCGATTATAGGTCTTACGCAAGATCCAAGATGAGTTAAAAGCACGGCTCATGGAGTTGCATGCTGCAGAAGAAGCAAAGAGGAAGCTTTTGAATGAAAAAGTGTCATTAGAAGAAAAAATTTCGAGGCTTGAAAAGAAGAAATCTGATGAGGTATTCTCTATCTCTGTTTCTTGTTATATTGATTCGACATTTTTTTAAAGTATTACATGAAATAGTTTTTTTTTTTTCCTTATCTGATTTTTAAATGTATTTTGAAACCTTTCAGAAAAACTTTGAACATGAATGCAAGGCATTAACTGCTCAAGTTTCTGAGCTTCAATATAAACTGGAAGAGGTTAAACAGGATTTGGCAGTTGCACAATCCACTCTTGCCGCAAAGGACAGGGAGTTGGAAGTGTTGCAGAATAATCTAAGGGAGCTCGAGGAATTGAGAGAAATGAAAGAGGTAACAATTTTATAGTTCTTAACTTTTGTAAGCAGTTATGTTTTGATGTAATAAATCTAATAATTACGGCCTTTGAGGACATGGAGAAGTGCGACTAGGACTTTATTTTAGCCTTCTAAATTTTGTTGTATTTATTTACTCTTTTATGGTTTTCATCCTACTTGTATTAGACTCCTCCATAGTCTAAAGTCTAAACATATTATGCTTCTATCAGGATATTGATCGAAAGAATGAGCAAACTGCGGCAATTTTGAAGATGCAAGGGGCACAGTTGGCTGAGATGGAAGGACTTTATAGAGAGGAACAACTATTGAGGAAAAGATACTTCAACATGATAGAAGGTACTATACCATTGACTAGTTCTAGGCGTAACGTAAAATTAGAAACTTTTGGTGTTTTTTTTTTTTTACTAAGAATAGCAAGTGCCTTATGAAATATCTCAGATATGAAAGGAAAAATCAGAGTTTGCTGTAGATTAAGGCCACTTAGTGACAAAGAAATTGGTGCAAAGGAAAGAACTGTGGTCACAAGTTTTGATGAGTTCACTGTTCAACATTTGTGGAAAGATGAAAGAAAACAACATATATATGATCGTGTGTTTGACGGAAACTCTACTCAAGAAGATGTATTTGAAGATACAAAGGTAAAGCATAAGAAAATTTTGAGTCTTCACATATTTAGAAATATTTTACCGTTGGGGTTACTTTTTTTTTTTAAACCTTAAATTGATGCAGTTTTTGGTGCAATCTGCGGTTGATGGATACAATGTGTGTATCTTTGCATATGGACAAACGGGCTCCGGGAAGACATTTACAATTTATGGATCTGATAGAAATCCTGGACTAACACCAAGAACTATCTCTGAACTTTTTAAAATTATGAAGCAGGATAGCAACAAGTTCTCCTTTTCCTTGAAGGTAACACATTTTCTAATGCTATTTAAGGTTTTTATAGTTTGATGTAATTAATAATTAGAGCTACTAGTGACTTTATAATGATGCTATACCTACTTGTAATAGGTTTTAAGTTCTAATGAATTGAAGTTTGTATGCTAGGTTTTGCTTTTTCTATTGTACCTCTTTTGGTGCTCCTAATATTGTTTATGTGCACACAATTTTGTTCCATGTGAAATTACCATCATTCGTTTACCGGTTATTTTGAACAATGCAGACTTACATGGTGGAACTTTATCAAGATTCATTGGTAGACCTCCTTCTACCAAAGTCTGCAAATCGTTTGAAACTGGATATAAAAAAAGATTCAAAGGTGAGTGTTAATTGGGAACTTATTTTGACCATAATCACATTAATATATTTATGGGTCTCTGATATGTGGTTTTTTTCGAATAAATAGGGCATGGTTGTTGTGGAGAATGTGTCTGTTGTAGCTGTTTCGACATATGAGGAGCTAAAAGCTATTATTCAGAGAGGATCTGAGCAACGTCATACAACTGGAACCCTTATGAACGAACAGAGTTCTAGATCTCACTTGATTCTTTCTATTATTATAGAAACTACAAATCTTCAAACACAAACTATTGCTAGGGGAAAGGTATGAAAAATGATTGCTATTGTTCTTGAAATAATTATTTGATACATGGGGGTAAACCCCAACCAAGATGGCTAAGGATACAAACTTGTAACCACAAGGTTATGAGTTCGAATCCCAACCTTCTTGGTTTGAGCCAGTCAGCTATGGGCAACCTAGGCTGGTTTACCTCATTGTGGTCCTTTTCTTGATGCAGCTAAGTTTTGTGGATCTCGCTGGATCTGAAAGAGTGAAAAAGTCGGGCTCTTCTGGTCAACAGCTAAAGGAAGCTCAAAGCATTAACAAATCACTCTCGGCACTTGGGGATGTCATTAGTGCATTGTCTTCTGGGGTCCAACACATCCCTTACCGAAACCACAAGCTAACCATGTTGATGAGCGATTCACTTGGTGGAAATGCCAAAACGCTTATGTTTGTGAACATATCTCCCGCTGAATCAAACTTGGACGAGTCTCACAACTCCTTGACGTATGCTACCCTTCTCTGTACATTTATGGACTAGATTCTTGATGTAATTTTGTGTCACTAACTCCACTTGTCATGCTATTCAGGTATGCATCAAGAGTGCGGTCTATAATCAATGATCCCAGCAAGAACGTTTCATCCAAGGAAGTGGAACGTTTGAAGAGATTAGTGGCATATTGGAAAGAGCAAGCTGGGCAGAAGGGGGAGGACGATGATTTGGAAGAGATCCGAGAAGAGAGACCTACCAAGGATAAAACCGATGGCCGTGTTTCCATGTAAAACACACCATGTTTCTGGTTACCAACTGCTGGTTGGGAAGAACGCGATACACTGCACGTGAAGTGGATTAACCAAACCGGCATTTGTAAGGTAGCAGATGAACCAACCCCTTGTCTGTATTAATTTCTTATGGGGCAGGTTGCTCTCCAGGGTTTTGTTGTTAGATAGATTAGAGAAGTGTAATATGATGTGTATATTTAATATTTTACACGATGATGACTCTCTACCTACCATGTTTGGGGTTAGTAAATGAGAAAATTGTCAATTCTTTCTTAGTTATTATACTGAATCTTGTTGTAACAGTGCAGAAATTTGCAGTTGCCTCAAACATTCAAGAATTTAAACTATACAAGTATATAAAGAATTTCAGCTTCCCGAGGGCAACCCAACCAAGTTGGTTGGACTATTGACTTTGTAACCATAAGATTACAATTACAAGTTCGACTCCGAGGAGCTGGCTAACTATGGACAACTTAGGCTGGTTTACTACAAATTTAACTATACCGAGGAGTTTGTGTGCCCTGTATCGATCTGGCTCCAACCCGAGTTGAAGGGGGAAATTGGGATAGATGTTGTTGTATCAGTTTGAGATGAATCTATATCAATGGGCAGTGCTGATGGCCACACAAATGCAGGCCTGAATGGAGGAACATTTGGCACTGGAACTGAGCCTAATATGATCTGAACAACATCAGATGTTCTTGGTCTTTCATTAGCAATAGGATGAGAGCAAGCCAGTCCTAGCAGCAGAAGTCTTTTAGCTTCTTCGACGACGAAATCTTCCTTCAGCCTTATGTCGACTGCCTCGAGGATCCTCCCATCGCGATGCAGGAACCAAACCCAGTCTACGAGGGACTGGAAGCCGCCAATCCTGGTTCCAGGTCTCTGTCCACACACAACTTCCAGCAACACTGCCCCGAACGCATAGATATCAGACTGCTCAGTGGCCTTGCCCGTGAGGAGACACTCGGGTGCAATGTACCCAATTGTGCCCGCCACTCCCTCGCCCTCAGTATACGAGGTTCTCTCGTTGTCAAGTGCCCGTGCCAGGCCAAAGTCGCCCAGGCGGGCATTGAAATTGGAGTCGAGCATGATATTGCTGGCTTTGAGGTCTCGATGAACCACCCTCTGCTCGAACTCGTTATGGAGATATTGCAAGGCGTAGCCCACGCCAGACACAATTTTACACCGCAATTCCCAACTCAATGGATCCGTTTCACCCCCTATGAAGAGGTGCTGGTCCAAGCTTCCATGGGGCATATACTCATACACCAATAGTAGCTTCCCATGCCTATGGCACCACCCTGTGAAAACACCATTAGGTAAGATAATCATGACAAAAACACCAATAACACGACCATAATCAGTCTGGTTTAAGCTGGGAAACCTAATATATCAAACGAAAAACAACAAAAAGTACCTAGAAGCTACGAAAAAAAACAAAAATACCTAGAAGCTTGACAAGATGTTTATGGCGGAGACGATTGATAATACTAAGCTCAGCCAAGAAATCACCCTGACCCTTGATGCTCTCCCTGGAGAACCACTTGACAGCAATCTCCAAACCCTCACCTGCCAACCACCCTTTGTAAACCACCCCATATCCTCCCTGTCCAAGCTTCTTCTTCTCACCAAAATTCTCTGTAGCTTTCTTCAACTCCTTAAACTTAAACTCTCTTGGAGTTCCAGGCAGGCTCTTCAGTACTCCCAAGATCAAAGATGGATTCCTCAGCTTCCTCTTCTTCTGCACTAACCACACCAACCAAGCCGCCAAAATCAACCCCAGCACCACCACCGGCACCCCCACCCCAACCGCAATCTTCCACCAATCATTCTTTTCTGGGAAATAAGTAATTGTAAAGTTCCATCTTAGAACACAGTTGAGCTGATACCCCGCCCCAGTCGAAGCAGAGAATCCGAAATATGATTCTTGTTTCAAATGCTCTCTGATATCAACTTCAAAGGTTAGGATAGGGGAAGCCGGCTTAGGTTTGGTCTGCCCATCTTTGTCCTCTTGCTTAGCAATGTATACTTCCATAACCTTTGCAGTTCCATTGTATTGTACCCAGACATCGTAGAAAAATGTGTCGTTAATTGGGGCCAAAACAATGCCCAGAGGTGTCAAAGATTCAACCTTTTTGGATCTAATACTGTTGATATCAATGCCTATATGATTACCATCGGGATCAGAACCCTGCATGCTATTATCGAACTCAACGGCTATGATTTGGTTGGTGGAGTTCCCATCTGTGGACGCATTTGTGAGCCCCAAGAACTGGCCGGAGCTGTTGTTCGGCGGCAAGTCCATGTTCGGCGCAATCAAGAACGTTAGACCTCCTAACGTGTTGTTAAGGGGTGGCGCTCCGGCGGTGTCGTTCTGGGGTGAAATATTTATGCGAAAATACGACTCGAAAGATGCTGCCACGGTTGTGTTGTCTGATTTCTCGCCGTCCCAAAGCCGGAAAGGCTTGTTCAGAAACACTCTGCCGGACTGGTTTAACAATTCGAAGATTCGGGGGTCGGCGGCGGTGTCCCTGGTGACTTGGATGGCGTTGCTGTCGATATTTGAGCGGTTATTAAAGAAATAAAGATTGTCGGGATTTTTTTGGTCGAAGTTTGCGAATTGGACGGGGAATGTTTTTTGGGCTTGTAAAGTTATGAACTGGGAACAGCAAAGAACGATGAAGATGAAGATGATATTCTCAAAAAAAAAAAATGAAGATGATATTGCCGGTTTTGGCACCAAAAAATCCCATTTCTAACTTTATCTATCTATCTTAGCTTCTTTACGAATTTTTATAATTAGTGCCATCGCCATCTTTTTATACTTAATAATAAGATAAGGTTTGAACTTTGAATAGTATGGGTGAGGCAGAAGATTACTGCAGATACTTCTTGGAAATTATTGAAATGCATGTGAGGAATATCGGAGCTGAGTTTCTATGAAATTGCCTTCATCAAATTGACTTGTATTTTGTTTTGTTTTATAATTTTAGTTGGAGTTAATACCCAAAATAGTCCCTTGACTATGTCGTAATTACCAATTTGGTCCTCGACTATCATTCTTACCTAATTAAGTCCTCAACTATACAATTTTTTACCCAATTTAGTCCTTTGTCAATTTGACTGTCAAAAGTGAAAATAAAGTTATAATTTTACAAGTTTTCTCCTTCCTTCTCATTTAGCAGCGCCAAACCATGTAGCAATAAGCTCCGGTTGGGTTCTAAACCTGTCAGTATCGAAGTAGTGGTTATGCATCGGATAGCCCATGAATTTGATTTTCAACGATTTTTTGACGATCGAAATCTGATCGGAGTTTATTGCTGCATGGTTTGGCGCTGCTAAATGGAGAGGAAGGAGAAATCTTGTAAAATTATAATTTTATCCCGACTTTTGACAGTCAACAAATAGTCAAATTAATACAGAGGACTAAATTGGATAAGAATTGTATAGTTGAGGACTTAATTGAGTAAAAGTTACATAGTTGAGGACTTAATTGGGTAAGAATGATAGTTGAGGACCAAATTGGTAATTATGACATAGTCGAGGGACCATTTTGGGTATTAACTCTTTTACTTGCTAAATTATTTTGTAAAAGAACCAAACGTAAAATTAAACTTCGTGGTTATACGTCCCGTCAACAAGACGATTAACTTGGCTAAGGGTTGTTCCCAAGTAATATTCTTCACATCTTTAATTTATCATGGAGAGATGGAGAGTAATTTGTAAATTGTACGTGATTGTGAAGATCGTGTATATGATGTCTAATTAGAGATGTGAGCAAGGATGGGAGGTACGAACTTCGGAACATTCACATAAAACTTTTACTTGTTTATATAGTTGTAAATTTTCATTATTTATGACTTAAACTTCACGAGTTTGATATTTCTTTAGATGAAATTTAACCTTTCATAAAGGGGATGTTTGGTAAATAATTGAGTTAGTGGGTTTAACTAGTTGATAACATTAGCTGATTGTAAAAAGATGTTTGGTAAATTAACTGTTAGCTGATAGCTAATTACATAAAAAATGAATTTCTTAAAAAACTGATCGAAAAAGTTACTTTGAGCAGATTTTTGAATTTTAACATTTTGAAACAATAAGCTTTTTTTTTTTTGAAAATTTTTGAAACAATAAGCTATTATAACAAAAAGCTAATTAATCAAACACTTATATTGGTTGTTTAACAAATTCAAACATCTAATAATGGTTAAATAACTCAAAATTGGTTGATAAGCTAAGTATGTTACCAAACATGACCAATTTCTTTTATTTGCTAGTCGTATGAGTATGTTGTAAGCTGATTGAAAAAGCTATTTTGAGCAAAAAACTAATTAATCAATTTAAACATCTAATTCAGATTTTCTTGAGTACCATATTTTACCTCAGCTCCACTGAAGTTTGAACCCACAATCTCTCATATAAAAAAGCAACTTAATGTCATTAGACCACAAGATCCTTGACTCATATTATGTATTTAGTTTTCTCTATTGTGGTAAAATAAATATTCACATTCCATTTTTAGTATGTTTTAAAAGGAAAATACTACATGGACTTCCATTTCTTACTCCCAACTTGTACTTCCTCTCACAAATTTTTGATATAGACATATTCTCTGGGACCCACATGATAAAAATAGTCAATCTTTATTTGCCATGTCATAAAGTAAAAGTGAGGGAGTAGAATTTGGGAGTACATGTATTAGAACTCGTTTTAAAATTTCAAGCAATAGTGTTTTACAGGCAAAATAAGACAACATAGGCATTTTTTGTTTTTGTTTTTTTTCCACTTCCTTAAAAGCGTGTTTAATTTGCGTGTGCATCAAATAAGTATATATGTAAAGGAAAGTCAACTTATTACATTCCATACAATATCAAATCTTCTTCTCTTCTAGATCTAGACTAGATGAATGCTTGATTTATTAAGAATAATTCAAGAAATGTTATATTGTAAATTCAAACTTCTTACTTTATCAACCCTGTTGGAATTTCCCATTTTTTCCCCCTTAATTAGCTTCTTCAAAATTATGACTTTTCTATGGGCATTTGAAACTTAATTTGATTTAGCCAACAAAAATAAATAAATTATCCTCTAATATTAATGATTAGTTGTCGTCTTAAGAACTAACTCACCACTTGCTGGGATAGGACATATAGACCAAGAAATCATCAACTCATTGTATTATTTGAGTTGGGCAAACCAACTTGCCAAAATTTTTAAAATAATAAAATAAAATTTGATGTTCCTATTTGCCCAACTCAATTTGCCATTTCTCCATGAGGCTGGATGACAAATGCTGGTTGAAGGCTAAGGCAATGAGCATATGGAAACTGCGATTTTATGATTTCAGAAGGACTAGAGTTTCTTGAAAAATTTTATATTGGCATGGTGTAGAGATAAACGTAATATAGGCACAAGAATCAAAACACTTCAGAAAATATCTTTTTAGAGTATCATCATCAGTTCTTGATTTTTCACAATTTTTGTAGTGTCAAAATATCTTTTTAGAGTATCATCATCAGTTCTTGATTTTTCACAATTTTTGTGGTGTCAAAATATCTTTTTAGAGTATCATCATCAGTTCTTGATTTTTCACGGTGTTATTTAGCAGAGAAAAAAAAATTAAAAAAATAATAAAAAGCATACAGTTACAGGCCTACTGGGTTCAAATATTGCACAACACGCGCTAGTTTCAGCTTCTTTTTCTCTTTTCAATTGGGCCTCATAAAAAACCTTTATTTGCAGAAAAAAACTACCAAAAAAAAAAACAAAAAAAAAAAAAAAAAAATCACCATCCTATTTGTTCAAAAACTGCACATATGATTTTTTCTTCCTCAAAAGCTGAACAAAAATTCCTATTGGGGTTGCTCTTAAATAATAAAACTCAATAAACTCTTGAAGATTATTATTATTATTTTTTATAACAACCGCCCGTATTGAAAATGTTTGATTGAGGTCAAAGTACTTATGAGGTTCCTGAATATTTTGTTCAATTTAGTCCTTGTACTTTAAAAAGTGATACAATTAAGGACAATAGCTGATGTGACGCTGACATAATCTCTGCCACATCATCATACTTGCATGACACTCATATTTTATTTTATAAATATTTAAAATTAATTATTTTTACCACCAATATATTACATTAATATGTCCAAAATAAATATTAATTATGAACATATTAATTTAACTTAATAATATATTTGTGGTAAAAATAATTAATTTTAAATATTTATAAAATAAAATATGAGTTGTCACGTAAGTATAATGACGTGACAAAGATGATATCAACGTCACATCAACTATTGTCCTTAATTGTTTCACTTTTTAAAGTACATAGATTGAATTGAACAAAAATAAAGTAGAATGACTAAATTGAATAAAATACTATAGTACACAAAGTAATATGTACTTTAACCTTTTATTGATAGATAGGTTTCTATGTCAACTTTAACTGCCATAGGTTCATAAAAGTATCAGCACCGGTAAATTAGTAGTAATCCGTAAATCTAATACCAATAAAGTCATCACTTCTTTGGTCCATATGAGATATCAACTTCACTGTGAAATTCTATAGTCAAACATTCAAGTAACAAATAGTGAAGTAAATTAACTTCACTCTAACCTCTTTGGTCCATTAGTGAATTAAATCAACTTCTATGAGTTTTTAGCTCCTTTAATTTTCTTGGGCAATTATTAAAGGTACATTTAACCTCTATGAAAATATCTCTTTAGATAATAAAATTCAATAAATTCTCGAAGGTTAATTTTCTTAATAACAAATCAGAATTAGAAGACTAACACTTTTGAAAACAAGCAAAGTCAAAAGGTTAACTCTTCTTAAATTACACTAAAGAACTTGATCAATAAATCTTACAAAACTTAAAATAATATCTACAACTTCACAACAATAACTATTATTACATATTTAAATTCTTGGTAAGTATGTCTAAAACTTTAAGCACAACATTACTATATAAATTTTCATTAGAGTTCTATTGGACTTGTTGCATATGTATGTATTTATGGTTTGTGTTTAGTAATTTTGGTTAGAGTTAATTCCCAAAATGGTCCTTCGATTATAGTATTTTCTCAAATTGGTTCCTTGACTTTTAATTGCATCCAAAGTGGTCCTCCGACTATTAAATTAGATTTGGTGTTCGGTCGATATTAAAATGAAGGATAAAATTGGTAATTCAGCCATTCAAGTTATTCCAATTTAAAGCAATTTGTCATCCCACTTTCTTGTGCTTTGAGACCTGTACGTTGTTGACATAAAATGTAGAGTAATCAAATTATGATTTTTTTTTTTCAAAGAGTTACTATTCAATATGTTGGGTTTTCAATGTTGCATTATTGTAATCAAAATATTTGATTATTCACTATTTTGTCAAACAAAATCGGTAGGTACCTACACTAACAGCTCATACACACAAAACAAATATATGTTCTGGCAATTCAACACGTACATCAATGTGAATGCCCTCTCCCCTTTCCCATCCATTTTCTGTTTCTCTTATTTCTCATTGTATGCTAGTATCGTACAAATTTAACATTGTGGTTCTTCGTCGCAATTGGAGTGTTTCGCTAATTTGGAGAAAATCGAATGTTTAGTTAATTAGCTAGGGAAAAATTGAATGTTTAGTTAATTAGGGAAAATTCGTTGGTTTAGTTAATTAGGGGAAATCGCTGGTTTAGTTAGTTAGGGAAAATCTGATGGTTTACTGGTTTAGTTAATTATTAGGGGTTTGTAAAAAAAATTAATTAATTAATTAGGGGAAAAGCGATGGCTGGTGAAACAAAACATATAAAATGTCAGTTTTACTCTTCATTTTAACACCTACATATAGGGATGTCAATTTAGCCCTGAACCAATGGGCTGGCCCATTAAGCCCTAAAAATTGCAGGGCTAAAATCCAAAAAGATCAATCCAATAAGAAAGTAAGCTCATTGGGTTGGCCTTATTGGGTTATTGGATTGAGTTGGCCCAACTCATGGATTGTTGAGCTGGCCCATGTAATATTCAATGATTATTGGATGGACCATAGTCTATACAACTTGTGTGGACCATGAATATAAGGTACATTTTTAATATATTAATTGTACATTATTTGTATATTGAAGGTACATTATTTGATAGTATATATAAAATAATGTACTTTTATACACTACACATATTATATGTACACTACACACAGACTGTACATACACACACACTCTATATATATATATATACACACACACTGTACACTGTACACACAATATATATACTACACACTGTACACACACACTGTGTGTAGTATATATATATATATATATATATATATATATATATATATATAGTGTGTTATAGTGCGTGTAGTGTACACATATATATATATATATATATATATATATATATATATATATAGTTATGAACCTACTCTATTTGTAATAAAAAATTTGTTTAGTGATTTAGCCCGTTGGATTAACCAACAACCCGTTGTTTAGGGTTAGGTCCAACCCAACTCAAAAAAAAAAAAAAAAAAAAAAAAACCATTTTAGCCCAAGCCAACAAGTCCACCAACCCTGTAGGGCTAGTCCAAAACCCAACGGGTTGGCCCCTTTGACATCCCTACCCACATAACACCAAATCTAACAAATGATTATTTTGATTTAAAATTCAATAGTCAGAGGATCACTTTGGGTGCAATTAAAAGTCACAAGAAACTAATTTTAAAAAAATCATAGTTGGAGGACCATTTTGGAAATTAACACTTTTCAAGGTAAAGAAGATAACTTTGGCACATGTTATTTTTTTGGTGTTTGAATATGCAAATGGGTTCAAGAGATACTTGTCATTTAATAATAATAATAATAATAATAAGTATGGCATTTTGATCTTTATACTATTTATTCCCTTTCAATTCTCATTTATTTGGAATTGAAATTTTCAATAATTCTAATAATGCAAACCAAACATTGGTATTTAAATTCTCACATTATTCCCCTCCCATAGAATTGAAATTCTTTTTTCTTATAATTCCCTCCCTCTAACCAAACGACTTTTTTCTTAAAAGTTAAAGTTTTACTTTTTTCTTAAGAGCATCTCCATGTCCATCAATAGATTATGGTGTGATTTTTGAGGAATCAAAATCTATGTGGAAGAGAGTGAGTAAATGAGTTATCATATGAAGGACCAAAGTTTTTGTTAGATTGTGGGCTTCACCAAGAAAAAAAGCTAACCACTTTTATCGTTTTTATTTTTTTCAAATTTTGGTTTTGATTTTCTTTTTTACTTTTTTCCCTTCCCTCCCATCTTCTTCACATATGCAAAAACTACAACCAAAATGCATTGATGAGCATGCTCTAATAAGTATAACATGCTAACCCAATGTGATAGCTCAAGTGGCAAATGAGCTCTTTTTATGGAGAAAATTTTTGAAATAACCCGGGTTTGATTCTCACAAGTGATGATTCCCCTTGGGCCAGCTTGAGAAAGATCCGGACCATCCCGTGGTATACATATATTATACAAAATAATGTACATTATTTTTGTACTAAATGTATATTATTTTATAATATATAAAATATGATTCACACAGCTTGTATAGATCATGGTTCACACAATAATAATCGGTGGTACACAATAAAAAAAAGTACAAAAAAAATAAGTATAGCATGCCAATCTATGACCCACTTGGCCCATGAACCAAGGAGTCAATTGTAAACCATTGAAATAAAATTTATTTTTAAGTTTTTAAAAAAAATATTTATTTTTAATATACTGAATATTTATTTTTAATATTAAAAATAAACTTTTAATTTTCTTTAAAAAATAAAAGTTTAATATATTAAAAGTCAATATTTATCATCAATATAGTTTAGTTTGTCCTTAGGAGGTCCGCATATAAACTTATCCTTGTTATTTGGTTGGTCGGACTGATATGGACCAATATATTTTGGCAACTTTAAATATAGAATTTATATATTAAGCTTGACTCAAAAAAAAAAAAAAAAAAAAAAAAAAAAAAAAAAAAAAAACTTCTATTATATACCATCTCTAAGCTCACTCCAAATGCTAAAAACCAACCTTAAATTTTCACATTCAAGAATTTACATCGGTTTCCCTTGTTCCAATAAACGAATCGAAGCCACATTTATATCTGTTCTTAAAAAAAAAAAAAAAAAAAAACTAATGGAAATCTTATGACTTCCAACGACAAATATAATTACAGGCCGGGAAGAAAAATGAAGCAAAAGACAAGAGAAATCAGCATTGGTTATAGTTGTTCACAAATTTTAACTATACCAAGGAGTCAATATGTCCTGTGCTTATCTCCCCAGTACTCACACAATGTGGAGTCCATCCTGAGCTGAACTGGGAAGTAGGTGTGAAAGATCTTGTATCAGCCTCAGTTGAATCTATGTCAATGGGAGCCATAGAGGGCCACACAAAAGCAGGCTTGAATGGAGGCACAAAAGGGACTGGAATTGACCCTAATATGATCTGAACAACCTCAGATGTTCTTGGTCTTTCATTGGCAATAGGATGAGAGCAAGCCAGTCCTAGCAGCAGAAGCCTTTTAGCTTCTTCGACGTCGAAATCTTCCTTCAGTCTTTCGTCCACTGCCTCGAGGATCCTCCCGTCTCGATGCATGTACCAAACCCAGTCGACGAGGGACTGGAACCCGCCTAGCTTGGTCCCGGGTCTCTGCCCGCACACGACCTCCAGCAACACTGCCCCGAAGGCATACACATCGGACTGCTGTGTGGCCTTGCCCGTGTGGAAACACTCGGGTGCAATGTAGCCCATTGTGCCCAGCACTCCCTCGGCCTCAGCATACGAGGTTCTCTCGTTGTCAAGTGCCCGGGCCAGCCCAAAGTCGCCCAGGCGGGCGTTGAAATTGGAGTCGAGCATGATGTTGCTGGCTTTGAGGTCACGATGCACCACCCTTTGCTCAAACTCGTTGTGGAGATACTGCAAGGCCGAGGCCACACCCGACACGATTTTATACCTTAGTTCCCAACTCAATGGATCCTTTTCTGGGGCAGAGAAGAGGTGCTTATCTAAGCTGCCATGGGGCATGTATTCATACACCAAAAGTAGCTTCCCATACTTGTGGCACCACCCTGTGTAAACATCCCATAAATTAAACTTCCAGTTCCTAAGACTCAAAGGCAAGAAAACATTTGCTTATTGCAACTAGATTAATTGTCTTTTCTTGACAATAACAAAATGTTATTTCTAATCAGGTGAGAACTAACCTTACCCTGTGGACTATGAACTTGTGAAGGATTGCACCGCAACTACTACATGATTGCACAGCTACAGCTCCCAGACATGCTTGGAGAACCTTGCAGTGCAATCATGTAGTAAGTGCGGTGCAATACTTCACAAGTTCACAGTTCGTAAAAATTGGTTCTCACGTGATTATGCACCATTCTATCAGATATGCAAAAGTCAACCTTGTTTATTCAAGAAAATATTCCATGAAATTTGCTTGGAAGTTGCATACTAAGCAACCGCCCCTATTGAAAATGTTTGATTGATGATAGGTTTCTATGTCAACTTCACTGCCTATAGGTTCATATACTATCTATATCACAATTTGAAGTGCATTGAAAAGTCACCATACAAGACAGTTTAAGGGTCAACTCATACTATTTTAGACCAGAAAAACATCATAAATGCATACGACCTAAGATTTTAAAGTCGTATATGTCAGCATCAAAACATAGTGGATTGGTTTTTGATATATATAAAAAGTCTGTGTTTATCCAAATCATATGTACAGTAAAAACAGGCTCAAAGGTCTATTCAACACTTTATATTCAACTAGAGTAACCCAAGCAATCTACCTTGCTTTTAGACCACTCTAGGTTGTAATTAATATCTTTCATGCAAAAGACAATCAAACATCATAAAGAAAGACAATCATTGTATATACTTAATGACTTCTTCCTTGCTGGCTAAAATGTCCACTTTCAATTCTGATCTTTTTCTTTCTTTATTTTTTTGGTGACAAGGACTTAGAGATAAACCCAATAAATAAAAAATCGAATCGAATCTATTCCAAAACAAAAAGAAAATCATTTTAGTTTACTACAATAAATAAACTATCCTAAAAGCAATCTTAAACCCCCCAAAAAAAACTCCAAACTAAATCATAAATTCATTTGATTGAATTAATGTTTAATGATAGAGTAAAAGTAAGATGGTAAATTTCTAACATTTTTTGTCCACAAAGGGTGAAATTTCTCACTCTGATCTGACAGGATCGTGTAAGGGTAAATCAAGGTGACTCAGTCCATTAGATGGGAAGACACGAGAAGCCACCCCATAATAAGTGAAATTCTCACTCTGTGACTATCAGAATACAATACTGCGTTCTTAATCATAATCTGTCACTCAATAACCAATTGAGCTACTGGACGGGCATCCACGACATATGATGCCCAACCGTGTCGTGGGCCGCCCTGTTGGGTAAAGGCCATCATGATCTAAGGCAGCTAATTCCTATCCATGTTAGGTTTCATTAGTTCATTGAATGTTTTGTCACAAACAGAACTATCTAACAACCGAAACGTAACATCAAATCACAAACAAGAATCAGATGAATGTTTAAGGTAAATTCAGGAGTTTCAAGACATCCTAGTTCTCTAATCATGATGAATTGAACATACATACCTAGAAGCTTGACAAGATGTTTATGTCGGAGACGGTTGATAATGGTAAGCTCAGCCAAGAAATCATCCTGACCCTTGATGCTCTCCCTGGAAAACATCTTAACAGCAATCTCCAGATTCTCACCAGCCAAACACCCTTTGTAAACCATCCCATATCCTCCCTGCCCAAGCTTATTCTTCTCATCAAAGTTGTCTGTGGCTCTCTTCAAGTCCTTAAACTCAAACTCCCTTGGAGTTCCAGGAAGGCTCTTGAGAGCCCCCAGAATTGCAGATTGAGTCCTCATCTTCCTCTTCTTACGCATCCTGTAAGCAACAAACCAAGCCGCCGCAATCAGCCCCAGAACCGCCACGGGCACGCCCACCCCCACCGCTATCTTCCACCAATCTTTCTTTTCCGGGAAGTATTTAATCGTGAAGCTCCATCTCAACACGCAGTTCAGCTGGTACTTCACCCCAGTCGAAGCAGAGAACCCAAAATACGATTCTTGATCCAAATACTTCCTGAGATCAAGACCCATTTTTAGAACAGGGGAAACCGGCTTGGGCGAGTCAGGGCCTAATTGGGTCTCTTGCTTGCCGATATAAACTTCCATAACTTTTGCAACTCCATCGTACTGTACCCACACGTTGTAGAAACTCGCATTGATGGTGTTGGGGGCCAGCACGATGCCGTGAGACCTCAAAGATTCAATCTTTACAGATCTAACGCCATTAATGTCAATCCCTACATGGTTATCGTCAGGATCGAAGGATTGCTTGTTAGTATCGAGCTCAACCGCGACGAATTTGTTGGTGGAGTTGCCATCTGTGGATGAATTGGTGAGGCCCAAGTACTGGCCAAAGCTGTTTTCCGGCAAGTCTGGGTTGGAAGCAATCAAGAAAGTTATCCCTTCCGCCTTGGAGCCATCTAGGGGGTAAATATTGATGCGGAAAGTGGAGTTAAAAGACGCCACCACGCTTGCGTTTCCCGAGTCCCCTCCTTCCCAGAGCCTGAAGCCTCTCCTGAGGAACACCCTGCCGGAATTATTTGTTTTCTTGAAGTTGATGGTGTCTCCTGAAGCTATGTCTGGGGTGAGCTGCATGGCATTGTGGGTGAATGTCACATTTTGGCGCACAAGATCGCTGATCACTCGCTCTTCGCTTGGATCGAAGCTATCAAATTGGATGGTGTAGTTTTTTTCAGCTTGCAGGAATACGGCCTGGGAACAGCAAAGAAGGATGACGGTGATCGCGGCGGCCGGAAAAAGTCCCATCTCCGAGTTGATGGAGTCTAGGGAAAATGAAAGAAGTGAGAGAATGAAAGGGAGTAAAGATGGAGTCTTTGAAGCACGTTTAGCTCTCTCCTTTATATTTTAATGGTTTGGTGGCGATAAAATGCGGGCCGAGAGGAACAGCGACTGGGTATTTGGGCGTTGAAGTTTGAACGAAGCTTCGCCAATCGATCGCCAGCAGTAAATTTCTAGGAAATGGAATTCGAGGTGGAGGGAATCTCTATGAAAGGAATCAAAACACTTATTAAAGTTTTAAAATTTTCAGTTAAAATGGTTTGGTTAACGGCTTAACACCCCTAGTTTATAAACATTATTTGAGGAAAGAGACCAATATTTGAATTTAGACGGTAATAATGTTGGAATTATACCAAATGTAGATTCAACCTCTTGGAAGACGAGTTATAGTAGAGAAGGTAAATAAGAGATGTATTTTAACTTTTAACAATTTATAGGTTAAATCTTAGGTGTTTGCGAAACAAAAATATTAAATTTGTTAGGTTAATCAACAAATTGAACTGTATTTTGAGTATTCATAAAATTAAAGTGGTTCAATGAACCATCGGGAGTTGTTTTGAGAATTCTTAGAGAAGACGAGTTAGGATCATAACAGTAATGTTCAGAGGAGAAAACAGTGTTCGGATTTATAGGTACTTTCCTAACTCCCTAAGTCCCTTTTTTTAGTATGGAATAAGGTTCAAATTGGCTACTAAACGTAACCTGAAAATGTAATTAGGTCACTGAACACTTCAAATGTATGCAATTTCACCTGATAGCAGGTTACAATCAATTTTAGCAGGTTACCTGCTTACGTGGCAGTTGAGTTGGCATTTTTAATAATTTTTAATAAATTTTTAATTTTTTTAAACGAGGGGTGGTCGGTTTATTTTTATTTTTATTTATTTATTTATTTTTTATTTTTAAAATTTATTATTAAAAATAATTAAAAATTATTTAAAATTTATTAAAAATGCCAACTCAGCTGCCACGTAAGCAGGTAACCTGCTAAAATTGATGGTAACCTGCTATCCGGTGAAATTGCATACATTTGGAATGTTCAGTGGCCTAATTACACGTTTTTTTAGTGTTCAGTGGTCTAATTACACTTTTTTTTTCGTTCAGTGGCCTAAATGCATTTTCAGGTTATGTTTAGTGACCAATTTGAGCCTTATTTCTTTTAGTATTTAATAAAAGAGAGGGAAGAAATGGAACGTTATTATTATGAAGTTCTCCCATTGTTGTTGTTGTTTTTTTTTTTTTTTTTTTTTTTTTTTTTTTTTTTTTGGTGTGCGAAGTTTTCCCATTGTGATTGTGGATAAGTGTTTTTTTTTTTTTTTTTTTTTTTTTTTGAGAAAATGGCACTTTTTATCCCTGAGTTATATATTTATAGCACTTTTTCCCCTTCAATTATTTAGGTAAGTACATTAGCCCCTCAATTATTCTAAAAGTGGTGCTTTTTCCCCCTAATATATTAAATTGACATTTATACCCTTAAAGTAAACATTTTATTTATTTTATTACTCCAACAAATTATTGCATATACGTAGGGATGACCACGGTTCGGTTTGAATTGAACCGGATACTAAAGCAATCGAATTAATAGTTTACGGTTATAATTCAGATCTAGAACCAAATATTTAAATGTCAATTTATTAAAATTATGTATCAAAAAAATTGAATCTTGAACCGTGAACCGGCGGTTCCGGATCTGATTCGCGATTTTGAACCGTCTTTATTTTAAAATTTTATTTTTTATTTTAAAATAGTCTAAATTCAACAATAAATGTATTTTATTTTTTCAGTTCGGAACATGAACCGTCCGTTCCGGTTCACGATTTTAATAAACTCTAAATATCGAATTTCGATTCTAAATTGTAATTGAAATATTTCGGTTTGGTTGCTATAGTGTTTGTTTAGTTTGAACCAAATTATGGTCATAATTTGTTGGAAAAAAAATTAAATATTTAGTTTAAGGGTAAATATGTCCATTTAACATTTCAGGGGGAAAAACAGCCACTTCAATAATTTAGGGGGAAAAAATACTATAGGTATATAACTCAGGGGGAAAAAGTGTCATTTTCCCTTTTTTTTTTTTTTTTTTTTAACATTTCGGATTTAACCATTGCATTTCTAGCAAACGAACAAATTTGATAAGATTTTTAAAAAGACATTAGCACCAGGGTTAAATTTGTCACTTTATTGACAAAATGTATATTACTAAGGAAATAAATTTCGCGCTCCCACTATATATGATTAAAAATGTCATTTCCTTCTATTATTATTAAAATTTTATTATTTTTAAATTGTATTGAAATATGCACATGATCTATTGATCGGCTCTTACATGTTAACATTTTAAAATCCAACGAGTTTATTATAGTCTCATTGTTTTACATTCACCATAATTATTAGCAAAGTTTATTGTGTTGTAGACCATGCTTTTAAATAAAATAAAAAAAAAATGGATATTATGTGATGAATACCCAATATTTGAACTCAATTGAACCGCCTAGCCCCGATTGACCCATCTAAACCCGGTCAAAATATCCCATTATCACACATTTATTTCCCTATTAAAACCCACTAACTACCCTACTTATTTCTAATTTCCATAAACCTCTCAAATCCTAACCCCCTATTTACTACCCAATTAAGCCATCATTATTACTCATAAAACCCATTAAATCCTACCCAACGGACACTATTTGATTTGCTGCTACGAAGGGAGCTAGAGGCAAAGGGAGATCCATTCTGACACCATAGAAAACCACCTATTATTTTTTCACCCACAAGAAGACACATCACTCTTCCTCTTATTAGAAGATAGCACTATTCCATGAATCCATTCTACCACAAGAGAAGATCCTACACTCTTCCACACATGAAGAAGACTCCCTTTCGATGTACACAGTAGCTAGCCTTATTCATACACAAATATGTACCAAATCACCCATACAAAAATAGTGAAAGTCTTTAGGCTTGACACCGCCCAAAAAGGCCTGTGGTTTTCACCTTTCGATTTCCGCGTAAAAATCGTTTAGTCTAAAGCTTCTTCTATCTAATTATATATTTTATTTACCGGTGAATCCACCAACCACGGTTGTGTTGAACCTCCTTAAGCTCAAAACCCCTAAAATTAACACTGGTGTCAGTGTTGGTTTAGGGTTTCTAGACCCAAAGAGGTCCAACACAACTGTAGTTGGTGGATTCACCAGAAAAAATAAAACTGTCGAAAAGGAAGAAATGGCTATCAATCTCGTTCATATTTGCTTGTATGCTTTGGCAACTCGCCGTCGGAAAGAACTTGCTTTTACATTCTCTTAGGGCCTATTTATAGGTATCCCCTCTTCGTTAATTAAAATATGATTATTAAAGTGACATAATGAAGCTTATTAAGACTAAGGGCCATTGGGTTGCCGTTACTAGGTCTCCCCAACGGCCTGATTGACCGTGCATTAAAGGCGACCCTTTAAGTGGCAACAGTCACCTGCTGCGCCGACCCTTGTCCGTGCCGACTCCATGGACTCGGCTGCGTCCTCCTCCGGGCCTGCCCATGGCCCATGATGCTGATTCCTCTCATTCCCCCTTCGGGACTTACTTCCGCAGGCCCAATCTCTTTCTTTCCCCCTAGGCCCTAAGCTCATTGGGTCCATACCCCATCATTATGTTTTGCAGTTTGCACATAAGGTAAGAACCATATGAAATTTTTCAACTTTTTAAAAAATAAGAAAAAAATAAAAAGAGAAATATCACCTCACAAGAATACTTGAATAAAAAGAGAACCTTAAATTAATTAAACATATTTTTATAATTTTATCATCAAGTCAAATCAACTAATACAATTAATTATTAACTATCAGTTAAATCTATCATATATTAACTACAGAGTAATTGCTAAACACTTCCAGTATGAGACTAAAAATGTCAAGAAAATAACACCACATTTTGTTCTTGAGTTATGAGACGATATATAATGCTTTAATCATTAGCGTATTTACTTTAGGCCCCTAAAATTTTTTAGTTTCATTAAGCTCAAACAACCTTGTACTAGTCATTAATGTTGTTGTCTCACTCTAATGTCATTGCAAATTAATAATCTGGGGCGGCAAAAATATCACTTCATTGTCAACGTAAGTACCTAACATGTACATGGACTAAATTTCTATTTAACCATGAAAATGGTTAAACCTACCGAACAGTACAATTTGTACATGTTGATACTTATTTTGTCCCAAAGAGTATATATAGTTATTTACCATGAACATAAATCCTCTTTGGTAAAATAATTAGTCTATCAATCAATTTTAACTTGTTTCACCATTATTAGTTGTTTGATTTAGTTATAAGTGTTTGATTAATTAGCTTTTTATAACAACTTATTGTTCCAAAACACTAAAATTTAAAAAGCCGCTCAAAGCTATTTTTTCTATCAACTTTTTGAGAAAGCTATTTTGTATGTAATCGGTTTACAACTAATTTACCAAATATCTCTATACAATCAACTAATACTATCAATTAGTCAAACCCACTAACCTAATCAACTAACAACTATTTAACAAACAGTCTTTTTAAGTTTTGACTCAGGTTACAGCCTTTTGTCCTTCTACACTAACAGTAATTCAGTAATGGACTAAAATTATTATTCATTATAATTTAGGAACGAAAACCGGCCATAAAATAAGAGAACCATACCTCATTAAGAAAATATGAGAAATATACATACTCATATTAAGTGATGAAGAATTAAAATTGCCATTTAATCATAATTCAAACTTCAAAGACTTCCATTCTGTTTAATACATATTAAAATATTGTAAACTTTTAAAATTAAACATGATGAACAATCTAGGAATTTAGAAAAAAAAAAAAAAAAAGAAAGTGGAAAGATACACTTCCCACTATAAACTTTTTCATATTTAATTACCCTATATAGAAATTATTCTTATATAATATATCTTGATCTAATAATTCGTATCGATTCACTGATTCATTTGTAACCAATATAGGACAAAAGCTTCATATTCCAACTCAAATAGGTTTATTTTGAGAATCAATTTCTCATTCACCTATTATCTATTTTGAGCGTACAATATATCAATCTCTTTGTCTTT